ATAGGCCTTCCTGAGGTGCTGGAACCTACCCAGGGGGTGTGTGCCAACCACACCTGGCGAATTTTTGTATTTTAGTAGAGACGAGGTTTTTGCCACGTGGGCCAGGCTGGTCTTGTTCCTCCTGGACCTCAGGTGATCCACCGCCTCCGGCCTCTGCAAAGTGCTGGAAATTACAAGGGCATTAGCCACTGCCGCCAGCCCCTCGCCCTGTTTCTTCTGACAGGCTCTGTCGGGTTCAGGGAGATGGAGGAAACAGCTCCAGAGAGCTCATTGGGGCTCCCACTGAGTCGACGCGGCCTCAGACAGTGGATGGAGTGATGGGCAGAAGCCCCAGGCCGGATCCTCAGACCCATGTTTTTCTTTTTTTTTTTTTTAGATGGAGTCTCGCTTGTTGGCCCAGGGCTGTAGTGCAGTTGTGCGGATCTCGGCTTCGCCCCTGTTCAAGCAATTTCCCCTGCTTCAGCCTCCTGAGTAAGCTGAGATCAGTGCCACCGACATCTGGCTACCTTTTTTTGTATGTTTTAGTAGAGATGGGGTTTTCGACCATGTTGCCAGGACTGGTCTGGAACTCCGACCTCAGGCAGATCCACCCACCTCGGCCTCCCAAAGGCTGGGATTACAGGCATGACGCACGCACACGGCGAGCCATGTTTTTCAACGCACCAATCTGCTTTCGGCCTAATGTTTGTATTTTTAATAGGATGGGGTTTCACGTGTTAGCCAGGATGGTCTCTATCTCCTGACCTCGTGATCCACCCGCCTCGGCTCCCAAACTGCTGGGATTACAGGCGTGAACCACCCCGCCCCGCCTAATGTTTGTATTTTCAGTAGAGACGGGGTTTCACCATGTTGACCAGGCTGGTCTCGAACTCCTGACCTCAAGTGATCCGCCTGCCTTGTTCTCCCAGTGTTGGGATTACAGACATGAGCCACCTTGCCCCACCTAATTAATTTTTTTAAAAAGGCAATCAGCAAAATCCAGAATGTGGATAAGTGTATAGTACAAAGCATCTTGGCTCTTCAACAAATAAATTACAAGGGAAAAAAGAGAGGGTATCTGTAGATGAAGAGGCTTCAGAAACAGTAAGTCAAAGATAATGTTTAGAAATGTAGTTTTGGGTGATAAAATTATAAAGAAACCGGTGGGTGTGTGGTAGATCATGGCTATAACCTAGCTCTTGGCCAGGGCAGGGCTGGGGTGCAGCCCCGTGTATCCCAGCACTTGGGACTTGAGGTGGGTAGGTCACCCTGAGGTCAGGAGTTCAAGACCGAACCTGGCCAAATTTTGGTGGACACTGTCCTACATATATAATAGGCGGAGCGTTGGCAGGGACGGACTAATCCCACCCGGGAGGCTGAGCGAATCCGCTTGCACGGGGGGAGGGACGGAGGTGGTAGTGGAGATGGAATCACGCCACTGTACTGCCAGCCTGGCAATAGAACGAGACTTCCGTCTCAAAAAAAAAAAAAATAGAGCTAGGCGGAAGGATTGCTGACTCAGAAGTGTTGAGAACAGCCTCGGGCTAGTGCATCAATGATACCATCTTGCTAACAGTAGAAAATTTAAAAAAGATTAGCTGGTCATGGTGGCAAATAACACCCTGTAGTTCCCAGTTACTTGAGGCTTGAGGCAGGAGGATAGCTGAGCCCAGGAGTTCAAGGTTGCAAGTAAGCTGTGATTGTGCACTGCACTCCCAG